CTAAACCTAGATAAGGAAGTTAAGGATTTGGCTTCACCAATTGATGCAACCCTATCAGACAAGGTCATGACATCTAAGAGGAATATTAGCCATAGATCGTCCCTAATCGACAAAATTCTGGCCGAGGATAATGTTGAGATGTGCAATCTTAATTTTTCCTCGAACAAAGAACACATTCAAGATGGAGACGGCCATTCTACTGCTGGCACTGATGTGGCAATAGCGTCTCAGGGAAGGTTTACTAATTCAAGTAGAATTAATCACGAACAGGATAGGACTATGGCTGTTTCCCCTTGTAAGAAAAAAGATTGCAGAGGTTTGTTAAAGAAGCTACTGTGGAGACGAAATAAACGTAGCAGCAAGAAAACACCAGCTTCATGAACTGCATAACCCTGCTGAATTAAAGTCGACTCGCAGAATTTAGTTTTGATGCTGCAGTTTTTGAGTCGTTACCTTGTCAGCTAAGATGATTTTACTTAGACTTGCAAATTTTGTGCATATTGTTGTAATATAATCAAAATATTGTCGATCGTGAAAGTGTGTTCTACTACCGCTATTTTACCAGATGTGCAAATGAATTCATACATATGGCAGTGACTTGTGCATGAACTATTAGATGGTACAAGACAATCTGATAAACAAATTTTAGCTCTTTTTGTTGAAAATAGTGTGAAGTAGATCTGATTCACGTAATTAAACACGGGTCTATAATTGCAATTAATTCTTTATTTGTTTTTTCTTTTCATGTGTTATAAGAGGAGGATAAATTCATCATTTTATAAAGCTTTTATGGAGAGAAATGATGAAAATATTGTATTTTGTGAAGTTTAGCTAATTTTGAAGGGTTTTGCATCAAATAAAAAATTAAGGGATATTTCGCAAAACAGATAAATGTTAGGAGATATTGCGCTAATTATCATATTCGAAATTATTTGAATATCCCACTAATATAACAATATTGCGATAAACACAATTTAAAAACATATTTTCTAATAAATTATAAATTGATAAAAAAAATTTAAATATCTTAATATATTGATTTTTGATACGCCAAAGATCGTATCTCTAAAAAACAACCAAAGACATTATTTGATGTGGGGTTTTTGTTTTTATTAGGTGGCAGAGCTTAAAGACGTCAACGTGTCACGTCTGAATTCAATCGGACGTGTAGTGATTTTCGTCAAGCGAAAGTAACGAATTTTAAGTCAATAATGAATAGGTAAGTGTTTAAATATAAATGAATTAAATTTTAAAGATAAATGAATAAGTAGTAACGCAATAAAAATTTAACGACCATTGATTTAATTCATTTGTTACTAAATCTCCGATAAAATGCCCACATCCTCCGCTTGCATAATTGTGAGTTATAAAGAATTTCAATTGCATTTCCAATATGCATGTATGTTTCTTATTTTTGGTTTAATGTTCGTACTGGAAACTACCTAAGATTGAAATTTGTATGCATAATCACCAAACGTTGTTGGAATTTGGAAATTACTAGCGTCGAGGGAATTGAGGCTTGAAAAATCACTTTAATGACTAGTAATAAGGAAATGAATTTTAGAGAAAAGATGGTAATTGAATATTTAGCGACGGTCGATATAGATTCTTTATATTTTATTTTCTTTAAATTCATTTAATCTCATATTTTCTTAATCAAATATTTTACATGTTAACCCATAAATTTTTCATACTTTTAGACCACATTTTTTTTTAAAAAAAAGTCATTTTTCACAAAATTTACTCTCAAAAATCTTCGTCTAACATGTCGCGGTTGAAAAGAAGGTAATTGAAGTTCTGAAAATTTCATAAATTGCGATTCAACACTTCTCTACATTGAGTTTGGCAATGGAATCGATGACAACTTTGACCAGTGTGTTGACGTTGACAATAAAATTAGCTCTAAGTAGACAATATTTGTTAAAACTTATTTATTTATAAATTAATTAGATTATAAGTATAATATTAAAACTGAACCAAACACGGAAGTAAAATAAAACCAATTTCTTGGACCCTTGGAATTCATGGTCATTTTTTCTACTTTGAATGTGATTCCTCACTCACCGTGGAATGTGTTGGTATAGAAGATTGACACTAACTTTGAGAAAAACTACGTATGGTGATGTATTTTTTATTGCATGTTTTGATTACTTGTCAAAGTTATTTGGAATAGTACCCATTAATATTTTCTTAGTTTTTGATTGGTGGATATATATCTTTTTCTTATGCCTATAATCTTCTGTTCATTTATATTACATAAGACAAGAGTAGATTTCCTATTTGGCAAGAAAAGTTTAGAGTGGACATCTAGACTTATACTTAATTGAGTGTCTGAAACTTTTTGTCATGAGTATCATGAGCTTAACCTCCTAAACTCGATATCTTTTAGCGTGTTTATTCTAAATTTTTTAAATTTTAGCCCACCTCAACACCATTTTCTAGCTCCGCCCCCTGTCCAAACATGTTTGTGTACAAAAAGTTTCTGCTAACTAATTTAACTTTTGTTTAAACTTAGCCAAATATGCTCTTAGACCTTAGTAAATAAAAAGGGAACTGAAAGGGGAAGAATTATCCTTGGGATACACTTTTTCATAATAGTAGTTTATAAAGTAGAAACACAAGTGCTTGTGGTTATGCATTGCTACAATTTTATTTCATACTGACTGTTGACCATGTAGGATCGGGAGGCCACAGGAGCTTCCCAAATGCGGGTCGAGTGCAAAGAAATTGTTCTAAACCTAGATAAGGAAGTTAAGGATTTGGCTTCACCAATTGATGCAACCCTATCAGACAAGGTCATGACATCTAAGAGGAATATTAGCCATAGATCGTCCCTAATCGACAAAATTCTGGCCGAGGATAATGTTGAGATGTGCAATCTTAATTTTTCCTCGAACAAAGAACACATTCAAGATGGAGACGGCCATTCTACTGCTGGCACTGATGTGGCAATAGCGTCTCAGGGAAGATTTACTAATTCAAGTAGAATTAATCACGAACAGGATAGGACTATGGCTGTTTCCCCTTGTAAGAAAAAAGATTGCAGAGGTTTGTTAAAGAAGCTACTGTGGAGACGAAATAAACGTAGCAGCAAGAAAACACCAGCTTCATGAACTGCATAACCCTGCTGAATTAAAGTCGACTCGCAGAATTTAGTTTTGATGCTGCAGTTTTTGAGTCGTTACCTTGTCAGCTAAGATGATTTTACTTAGACTTGCAAATTTTGTGCATATTGTTGTAATATAATCAAAATATTGTCGATCGTGAAAGTGTGTTCTACTACCGCTATTTTACCAGATGTGCAAATGAATTCATACATATGGCAGTGACTTGTGCATGAACTATTAGATGGTACAAGACAATCTGATAAACAAATTTTAGCTCTTTTTGTTGAAAATAGTGTGAAGTAGATCTGATTCACGTAATTAAACACGGGTCTATAATTGCAATTAATTCTTTATTTGTTTTTTCTTTTCATGTGTTATAAGAGGAGGATAAATTCATCATTTTATAAAGCTTTTATGGAGAGAAATGATGAAAATATTGTATTTTGTAAAGTTTAGCTAATTTTGAAGGGCTTTGCATCAAATAAAAAATTAAGTGATATTTCGCAAAACTTAGGAGATATTGCGCTAATTATCATATTCGAAATTATTTGAATATCCCACTAATATAACAATATTGCGATAAACACAATTTAAAAACATATTTTCTAATAAATTATAAATTGATAAAAAAAAATTAAATATCTTAATATATTGATTTTCGATACGCCAAAGATCGTATCTCTGAAAAACAACCAAAGACATTATTTGATGTGGGGGTTTTTTTTTTTTTTAAATATAAGGTGGCAGAGCTTAAAGACTTCAACGTGTCACGTCTGAATTCAATCGGACGTGTAGTGATTTTTGTCAAGCGAAAGTAATGATTTTTAAGTCAATAATGAATGAGTAAGTGTTTAAATATAAATAAATTAAATTTTAAAGATAAATGAATAAGTAGTAACGCAATAAAAATTTAACGACCATTGATTTAATTAATTTTTTACTAAATCTACGATAAAATGCCCACATCCTCCGCTTGAATAATTGTGAGTTATAAAGAATTTCAATTGCTTTTCCAATATGCATGTATGTTTCTTATTTTTGGTTTAATGTTCGTACTGGAAACTACCTAAGATTGAAATTTGTATGCATAATCACCAAAGGTTGTTGGAATTTGGAAATTACTAGCGTCGAGGGAATTGAGGCTTGAAAAATCACTTTAATGACTAGTAATAAGGAAATTAAATTTAGAGAAAAGATGGCAATTGAATATTTAGCGCTGGTCGATAGAGATTCTTTATAATCTATTTTCTTTAAATTCATTTTTAATCTGATATTTTCTCAATAAAATATTTTACGTGTAAATCCATAAAATTTTCATACTTATAAACCACATTAAGAAGAAAAAAAAAAAAAGAGACTCATTTTTCACAAAATTTATTCTCCAAAATCTTCATCAAACATGCCTACGTTGAAAAGAAGGTAATTGAAGCTCTCAAAATATCATAAATTGCAATTCAACACTTCTCAACATTGAGTTTGGCAATGGAATCGATGACAACTTTGACCAGTGTGTTGACGTTTACAATAAAATTAGCTCTAAGTAGACGTGTAAGTACATAATTATATATTATTCATTGAATAATAATTGAATATTAGAGATGAAACTACTCCATTCGAAAGGTTGAGGATTAACTCATTATCATTATAGAAGTCAGAGATAAAGAGTGGCAAACAGGTCGATTCGCTTGTCGGCTCGATCCATGAATGACTAATTTTTTGGTTTAGTTTATCAGTTCTTTAAAAATAAAAATAATGAGCTGCTCGTGAACGGGTCGACTCGACCTACCTCGACTACTATTTTTGGGGAAAAAATTGCTCAAAATTTTGTGAAGCTAAAATGTTGGACCCGGCCCAAAGAAGATACTGTGATCCAAATATAAATTTGTCACTGTCAGGGAAGAAAAATAAAAATCAAAGTACATAAAAAGGATGAGCAAAATCCAAAAGTGCTCTCTTTGGCCCCCCAAAATCACCATCTTGAATCTAGGGTTCTAAAAATTTCAATTCAATTCTAACCCGCCAAATCCGAATTTTCTCCGATACGGACCGACTGGCTTTCCGCGAGTCGGATCTATATTCAGAGCTCCATTGCGGATTGAGCTCAATTCCTCCGCCACCGGCAATGTCGGAGTCCAAAGCTTCCCCATCCGCCTCCGGATCCGACCCTCCGGTATGCCTTCCGATTCGCCTAAGTTAATTTCTACTTTATCTGTTTTGTGCATTTCCTGCAATTTTAATTTTACGTTTGGTAGAATAAATAAAAATATTCTATTTTTATTTTTCAATCCTCTGGGCTTGATACGTTTATTTAGAGGGTTGGAGGTTGAATACGAAGGTACATTGTATTTCACTTTGCTGAAGTTTAGGTCTATGATCTTGCTATATGTAAATTATATGTAACTTTTTTCTGTCAACCGTCTGTAGTTTCGGAGCTGGATTTAATTTCAAGGGTCTTTCTGAAATTCTAGAATTTCTTATATCAATGTATGTGTTATAGATATAATTATAATATTTTAAGGAGAATTCGGGAATGAAATATTTGTGATCTTAGTTGAATACGAAATCAGAGACTGGTGGTGAAATTTGGTAGGTGCATTGATTAGTCAACTACTTCATTTTATGGAGAATGATAAGCACGAGTTAATGATAGTTAATCTTCATCTCTAAAGCAGCAGTGTCAGTAAGTTTCAAACCTAAGTTGGAAGACTACATTTGGCAAAAAAGTTGCTGGATAGATATGAACTGAAAGGAAAATAAGGTGTCTAATAAAGGAAATTGATTTAATAGTTCGGTTTTGAAGTTTGAAAAAAATGCTGTTGGTGAATTTGTATACATGCTGGAGTTAATGACCTTACCTGTATCTAGAAGATCTGACTGTATGGGTCAATTAATTAAACGCTATTTGCATGCTAATCCTTGTAGTTGTGTGTTTCCTTACTATCCGGTTTGAACGGGGTAACAACAATTTTTATTATTTTACCTCAATCATGTGGACATCGTGACTTTTTCTCTCCATATTATCACCTTTATAATTCATTTGTAATTCACTTATATAAGAAAAAAGAGTTGTTTTAAATTCTTGCTGGACTTGTGCTCACATGGACAGACTACTGGGCGTCAAGAAAGTCTTCTGTCAGCTCAAGAAATACAAGCAGTTATTGATTCTTTTAAGAAACAGGTTGATTTGGATCGTTGTGTTAGCATAAAGGTGCCCTTTGTGATACTCATGATCTTTACTGAATTTTAATTTAGCCAGTTTTTAAAATAATCTATTAAGTTGTGTTCCTCTTTTTGGCCAGAAACATATGGAAGAAAATACACAGAAAGTGGCTGATGTCACAAAAAGTCTTCTTAAACTATCGATGGAAAGAAGCAATCTTAAGATTATTGGTGCAGACAAAAGTGTTGATTTACTGTCTAAGAGGCAGAAAGATGCAATTGATATGCATAACGGTATTGGTACGAGTAATGGGGATAACGATAGTAGTAGCTCTCAAGAAGATGGATATGGCTCATCGGCAATTCTTTTAGGATCTAGTATTGCAGTCAAGAATGCTGTTCGTCCTATTACACTGCCAGAAGTGAAAAAATTACCACCATATACAACATGGATTTTTTTGGATAGGTGCGTCAAGATTTCTATGAATATGGCATAAGAAGTGTAGTTAAATATTTATTTATATCTTCCAACTGAAAGGTTCTCCCTGTCCATTCTGTTAATTTTATATATCTGAAACTACATGAATTAATATCAAACTTTCTCATTGCAGAATTTGAAACATTGTCATTGTCATTGTCATTGTCATCCTTTTTGATACTGTAAAGGGACTATTTTTTTAAAGTAACTAATAGTATCCTGAGCCCGTAGAGGCTTTGATATCAATATTAGGGCATTCATCACTGCGATCACAAATCCTGTCTTTTGCACCTTTGGTACTGTACTGGTTTTTTTCGGCATTTGTATATATTTTTAAGACAAAGGAAGATTAACTTCTTCAGTAGCTGACAGTGTCGCTACCATAGATTGTTGATAATTTTTTTATTAATCATTTATGCTTGAAATATTTGCATGTTATTATTAGTTTTTTATTATTTACTTTTAATGGCATCAACAATTTCTGTCTTCATTTACATGTATATGTTCTTGTCTTCCTTTATATTCTTTTTCTTGATGATCTGTGTGTTTATTTACATCTAAGTTTATTTTTTAGTACACAATAATGTATTTGTTTACTTTTTTATGCTTCATACTCCATTATTGATGTTCTAGTTCTTTCCATGGGAGGCCCTAAAACTAGATTCTATTTCAGAGAGTCACGTCCTCCGGAGACATATTTCACCAACTGACAACTTCAAAGAGCCTTAAGTTTAAAATGTGATAAATAGGTGGGCTAATTAAAGCTTGAAAGTGTCGAAAAACACCATGCATGACAAATGGAATTCCGAACATTGAACATCTTTTTTTAAGGAAGGCAGTATTAGTTTTCATTTGAAGACTTTCTTATAGTTTCATGTTGTACTTTGATACCAAATTATATTTCTATAAATCTCATATTCTACTTCCAACCGTGATAACTATGTTGTTTGACCTTGGAGGTCAAAAACAATTAGTGGACACTGGACAGTTTTATGTCTATAACAGTGGTTGGGTAAGGTATTTATATAAAATGATCATCATAAAATATATTTGTAAGCGGATTCTGTATAGATATGCAAGAAAAGGAACTTTTACCTAAGACATATGAAGTACACAGAGATGCATCAGAGCCGAGGTAATGCAAGAGGTTGCTAGAGCTCTTACGTCCAGTATGGCCCCCTATTCCCGACATGCTATGGTGCCCCAGGGTGGGTAGGAGCGGGTTGAATCCGTATTGCCGCAGAGCAACAGCCACGTACTAATTGTGTAATGTCTGCCTCGATTGACATTTTGAGGTCAAACAAAAAATGTAGGAGACAAAAAACAATGTTTTTTTGAGCATAAAAGTGGAATCAAACAAAATGAAATATTATGATACTTGATATTTTATTCTATACTTTCAGAAAGCTTTATAAATGGATGCAAAATGTTGTTTAAAATTGTAAGTCCTTTTGATCTTCAAAAGTCAAAGAAGACAGCTATAATAAGTCTAAAAAGGGCCTATCTTAATTCAACATTGCTACAGTAGCATTCCTAGAAGGAAGCCCAATATATATATATAACCGATTTAGCAAAAAAAAAAACTTTCAGTTCTCTGGCGCATTCTCCAAAATTTTCTCTTGAGTGTTGCTATTAGTGGTGTTTGCCTTAAATTCATGTAGTAAATGGCCCTGCATTGTACTGCTAGACTTAGTTGACTGTGATTCATTTCTTTTTACTTCTACCTAATGATGACTTAGGGTGTGTTTGAACCACATTATTTTGAAAGAATGTATTATGAAATAGTAGATTGATGGAGAATGTGTGGTTGAAAAGGAAGGAAAAGTTATTGATGTGATGGAAAATATTATTTTATTGAAGAATGTGTGGTTGAAAATGAGTAGAAGAATGAGAATGAANGGATGTGTGGTTGAAAAGGAATGAAAAGTTATTGATGTGATGGAAAATATTATTTTATTGAAAAATGTGTGGTTAAAAATGAGTAGAAGAATGAGAATGAAAAAAATAATGTATACCAAACAGGGGTTTAATTGGTTCTGCCATATCTGACTCCTAAAGTAGTTTTGGCTTATAGTTGTCAAATTGAATCCTAGTTATAATTCAAAAGATTGGCCTATTCATCCTCCCTTAATGTTTCTTATAGTTGGAATCCTGGATAGAATCACATCTAGTCTCGGGATCTCTTATATCCAACATTTGTATAAAGTACTTGGAATTTGTTGTAAATTGAAGAATTCTTTATGTGCTTGAGTTTGACAAATAGCTTATGATGGTTCACATAGGAAATCAAGGAGTAGCTTTTTGATTTTCAACTTCTTTCTTCTTATAACATGGCAAAACAAATGTTTGCCAAAGTTATGGATTAAATCCCAATGAATTTAATCTACCAAAAACATACAGAAAATCCTTACCCGTGTGTTTTAATTTTTGTCGTTCCTCAATCTATGATGTGAAGAATTAAGGTAAAGGATATTTAGCTTCAGTTTTAATTAATTTGTCATTCATATTTCTTTATTCACTCCCAAGAATGCAAACCCTCTTAAACGACTAGGTCAGTAAGAAACCTATACTTATAACTTTATTCCATGCATATGCTGGTTTGTGCTGTAAGTGGCAAATGAACGTTATTGAGAGAAAAAACATTGGTGGACAGAGGAAACCGGTATTTGAGTATATATTGTGTTTTGGACATTTGGAATATCTATGAATTGTATACGTTAATTATAACTTATAATTTCTATTGCATATAGGTCTAAATGAATGGAAGATACATGCCAAAATGAATGAAATTGGTCAAAATATGAGGATAGATAGGACTGTATTACCCGAACTTGATTTTATGTCTCTAAATGCATTATAGGATTTTGCTATATTCCTCAATATGAATTGTTATGAATTAATATTTCTAGCTTGGTCTTTCAAAATGAATGGGATGGATGATAAATTTTTAGGTCAACTAAAGGTTTTTTGGGGTACATTACATTGATCCTCTTTAATTTCTGCTTCCTAGAATCTTCTAATCGTAGTATTTGGTTTTGAATTTTACTATCAATGTAAATCAATGCCCACAGATTATAAATGATATTAAGCCCCTGTTTGATTTAGCTAAAAATCAGATTTTTAGTAAATTTTGATAAAAGTTGATTAAAATGTCGGGTTGAAAAGTTGATAAAAGTTTTAGGTTCCATCAAATGTGTTGTTGAAAATGAGTTTGTGGAAAAATTAATTTTAGAAAATAACTGGGGCTAAATATAGTTTTGAAGAATGTTTTGTGGACAGCAAAGTCCAGCTGCCCCATTCGTCTTTGAATGTTAAAATTATTACTTCTGAAATCAAATTTGTATTTCACTAACAATTACTTGGCATCACTAGTTGAATGGGTTCATTGGTGTCACTTGCTGATTCTCTTTGTCCGTGTGTATTTGTGGGTGTCTGTTTCTAGACTCAGATATGAGCTCTTAGCCATCTTCTGTATGGCTTCCCAGATTGAAGTTTACATTTTAATGTAACAGTATTGTTTTGTTGGTATAACGGTCTTTGATTCAGTTATATCCTTAGTGCAGAAATCAAAGAATGACAGAGGACCAGTCTGTAGTTGGCAGAAGGAGAATTTATTATGACCAAAATGGTGGTGAGGCTCTAATCTGTAGTGATAGTGAAGAAGAAGCCAATGACGATGAAGAAGAGAAGAAAGAGTTTGCTGAGTTTGAAGATTATATTCTGCGGTTGGTATATCTGATGCAGGACATATAACTCATCTTGTCGATTTTCTTCCCTTTTCAGTCTGTGCATAAAGATACAGTTTTTCTTGAAGTATTATTCGAATTCTCATTTTTCATGATTATCATTGTTCTCATTAATCCTCAGGTCACTGGCTCCTTAAGTGAAAAAGAATTTTTCATGTTCCTTTTTCGCTATTCTCTTTAGGTTCATTGGTCATTACTATGTCTTCTGGAAGATCCTGTATAATTGGATCTTTACAGCCATAAAGGGCCATTTCTATAATTTTCATTGCCGATATGCCAAAGTTCATAACCTAATTCTTTCTCTTCCCTTTCACTCCTTTGACCTCTTGTATTCAAGTTATCCCGACTTTCCTCCTGTGCATCACAACTAATTTAAGGATTTTCCAATCACTGCCAAAAAAAAAGGAGAGCTTCTCTTTTCTAAATGCAGGTTAGATAAAGAAATTCCTCCCTTACCTTTTCAAATAGGAGTACTGCGAGTTTCATTGTGAAGGGATGATATGGCAATCCCTCTTAATAGCTCGCTAGACGAGGAATAAGACTGAAGGATTTGTTCGATGTGGTTATTTGAAAACTAAATTTGGAAGCTACATAGTACAGAGAATAGAGGACCTGGAACTGCGTGCATATGGCCATTATATTCTTCTGTTTACCATTTTTTCCTGTTAGTTTTGATTAAGATTTCACATTTAATGTCTTGTTTGGATTTTGATCAATGGCAAAAATACAAAAACAGAAATAACCTTTTCTTCTGATTCCTTTGGTTTATATTGGGTAATCTAACTGTTTTAGTTCTCACTGCTTGTTTATATTTGCCAGAATGACTATTAAAGAAGTGGGGTTATCTGATGCCGCATTGGATTTGTTATCCCAGTGCCTATGTAGAAAATCTTCTGAAATCAAGGTAGAACTGTAACTACAGGTTACCAGTGAACTGGTCATCTTGGTTAATTACTTTTTCTTTGTTTACTTTGTATTTATTATCTGAAAAGAAAAACTGGTCATAGCGAGAACTTTGGTCCAGCTGTTTCCCATTTGCTTTTTGCTGGATTTACAGATTAAACTACCATCAAACATCTTATACAGGCAAGATATGAAGATCTTGTTAAGAGCGGGAATGCCACATGCGATGTGAACACTGGAAATATTGATGGCTTTGTGAATCCTTATATTGATAAAGATCTAGATGCAGCTCTGGATTCATTTGACAATCTGTTTTGTCGTCGCTGTCTTGTAAGCATGAAACATTGACTTCAATTGTTCTAAGACTGGAAGTGAAGCACGCTCAAATTTTGTGCATCCTATATGATTTGTCATGGTTTTCTTGCATCTTGGTCCAAACTTATTCTTCTTTCTTTATATTTGCAGGTTTTTGATTGCAGACTACATGGTTGTTCCCAGGATCTTATATTTCCTGTAAGTTAATGATGTCATCTTATAAGTGTCAATGTTTTTTAGAATAGTCACTAGCTGCTTACAATGTTAATTTTTCAAATAGGCTGAGAAACAACTACCGTGGCCCTGTCCGGATGTGGAAAAAAAACCATGTGGCCCAAATTGCTACCGACAGGTACTTGTTTCTACATCAATTATCAGAATATACTAATATACCATAAATTTGTTTCGCCATACCTTTATTGTAAAATGTCCTGCCCATTCCTTTTCGGTGTTCTTGCAACCTGTTTAGGCCACTACATAGTGCACTTCAATGTAATTTACACATCAACAGAGATTTCCCCCCTTAACCCATGCTATTATTCTTGCCAGCACTTTTTACTACATTCACACTGCATCGGGTCCTTAAGTCAGAAAGTAATTCTACAATGTGCTCTACTGGGCAGGCTATTCATGAAGAAAAAGCTTTCACTGCATCTGATAATGCTGCTGCCGTGCATATACAGAAGAGGAAGCAGGGAGGTCCATCCGTACGCAAGACGTCAAAATCTTGCCCGAGTGAAAGTGCTTCTTCAAATGCAAAAGACATATCTGAAAGCAGTGACTCAGAAATCAAACTCATGAACGATGTTGCTTCTTCGCCTAAGAGTAAATCTACAGGAAAATGTGGGGGAAACAAAAGGAATAGCAAGAGAATAGCTGAGCATGTTTTAGTTGCCATAAGGAAAAAACAGAAGAAAATTGCTGCTTCCGACTCTGAATCTGTTGCAAGCGGGAGTCTCGGTTCTAAAGATATGAATCTTCAAGCTCCTCGACGAGAAAATAATGGCATTAGTTCTTCACAGAAATTAAAATCTTCTAGTTCCAGAAAGTCTAGTAGGAAAGAGCCTTTAGCTCCTGACAGTAACAAATCTTTGCAGGGGGACGCTCCTAGCGGTGCATCAAATGAGATTGAGAGTAAACGACCTGTGAGTAGTAGTGACGATACCTTAAAGAAAGAAGAATTTATTGGCGAGAGTACGTATAAACAAGAAGTAACTGATGATAAATGTTGGAAAGCATTTGAAAAGGCCCTCTATGAAAAGGGGCTTCTGATTTTTGGCCGGAACAGGTTAGTATATCCTTTGCTTGTTTTAGATATCTAGTTCCCAAGTTCTGTAATCTTTGTGCATGCCTTTGAACTGTCATGTCATATGAGTCTAAAGGTATGTTGTATCTCCTTAGTTAATTAATCCAATGATTATTAGACAGCATTTTTGTAGTTGAGGATTTGTTTAAGCACTAAAAAGACAGATATTCTTTTAATTGGTAAGTCATAATGGGTTTCTGTGCACTTTAAGATAAAAGTTGAAATCCTCATTTTCTTTTCATTTCATTTCTTGTGTCTTGCCTTCAAAGTGGTAGCGTTACTGTCCGACTTGACATGTACACTCGACACCAATCTTCATTTGGCTTTAGTAGGTTTGTCCCGCTTGCATTTAGTCTTGATCTATGAAGTATGGACACTTCTACGAAAGAAATGTGTCTGTTGAGACGTTTGTCGTGTCGTACACCTAGGATGCGATGATACCCTTACAGCAATCAGCACAAAGCACTAACAAGCCTGTGTTTGAAACAACACCAACACGTCATCGACACATGTCGGATTCACTCGATGGTGTGTCCAAATTATATTTTGGTTTTGTACGGTTGGACACGTCGGGGGATACATTGTCGACACGTCAATATATTGTTGATGTACCAGAATTAACAAAAACCAATTCACTTCATGTAAGAAACTAATATTATCAAATTGTCAATCGATACTTTTTGAAAAATTGTGTATTCATGTTGTGGCATGTCCGATGCTCGTGTTTGCGTCGATGCTTCCTAGCTGGACACTAATACTCCTCGAACACTCTATATCATGTTTTACATATACTAAGTCTATAAGCATTTTCCTTTTTGAGCCCCTATTTAACAACCATATTTTTCAAATTCCTTTTTCAATATACTCATTTTTAATCATACATTCATATAATAAAATATTCTGCATGTAAACGCAAAATTTTACTTTTTAACGACACGTTTTCCTAAAAGTCACTATTCAAAAAAAAAAAAATTTTTTTTTGAAAGGATGGTTGTCAAACAGGGGCTAAATTATTTTAATAAAACAAATTGCTACTCATCCAATTTAAAAGATTTTGCCAAATCTAAAGAAGTATTGATCTTTTAAAAGTTAAAAGCATATAAAGAAAGATATAATATATGTGTACCAAGTTCATATAATTTAAGTCCGCATTTTCTTTTTTTGAAAATCACATGTCTGCATATCCGTGTAGCTTCATGTCCAAGTCAGTGTCATGAATCTGAGTCTGTGCTTCTTAGTACTCAATTCTACATGTTATCTTCTCTTGGTTTTCTGCTGTCAATGTTGTAACGAGAGAACCTTTATTTGCATTGCAGCTGTATGATTGCTAGAAATCTGATGAATGGTCTGAAGACATGTTCAGAGGTTTTTAAGTACATGCATCACTCTGAGAATAAGCAATTCTTTCGAGCTTGTGATGGGGCGGCCTTTACTGATGGCTATTTGAAAGCTGATGGTAGCGAAATCTTGGTAAGTTTTTTGTTCACTTTTATATGTCACATCACATACTTGTCCTTCGGTATCAGTTTTAATATGGTATGCTCATTTTCTTTTGGGTGGACAAGGGCAATGCTGCACGGAGAAGATCAAGATTTTTACGTAGGAAAGGTAGGGTTCGCCGCTTGAAGTATACATGGAAATCTGCAGGATACCATTCCATCAGGAAGCGCATTTCTGAGAGGAAAGACCAGCCTTGTCGGCAGTTCAACCCTTGTGGATGTCAATCTGCCTGTGGAAAGGAGTGTCCATGTCTTGTCAATGGTACCTGCTGTGAAAAATACTGTGGGTAAGTCATTGCCTTAAACATAGTATTCTTTAACTTCTATACAATAATTTTGCAGTTTAGAGTCCCATGTCAACTTCTCCATTTATTTTGTGCATCTTAGGTTTCCTTCTCTTTTTATTTTAGTATGCTGTTGTAGCTTACCTGTCCATATGGTTTTTAAGCTTTACGCTTTTGCTTTTGCTTATGCATGCTAATTGCTGCACTGTTTTTCCTTTCAGGTGTCCAAAGAGTTGCAAGAATAGATTTAGAGGCTGTCACTGTGCCAAAAGTCAGTGTCGAAGTCGTCAGTGCCCCTGTTTTGCTGCTGATAGAGAGTGTGATCCAGATGTTTGTCGAAATTGCTGGATCAGGTGGGATGTCACCAAGTGTTTTGGTTTTCTTTACATTTCACAATCACCAAAACTCGATGACTTATAGTGCCATCTTGTGAATTAAAGACCCTTGTTAAGTGCTTGCTTGGTGATGCTATTAAGTGCTTATAAGTTGTGGGTTTCTACAAAATGTATGAATATTAAGTGGATTTGGGTCTTACGAAATGCGTGGATAAAAAGTATGTTGGACCAACTTAAAAAGAATAACTTTAAGCATTGCCAAACTTGCACTAAAGTGGGAGAACTTTCCTATCACTCTGTAGAAGTGATAGAAACTTTTAGAGCATTTCCAATGGGGCTGTGGATTGTACCAAAAAGTGAGCCACATCATACCAAAATGCTTACATGGTAAGCAAAAAGGTGGAGGATGTTTAGCACACCATCTACCCGTGGAATATGTACTAGTCTAGACATCCTCCATATAGCCCCTATTTGGGCTTAATTAAAATGTGTTTTGGGGGAAAAATATATTTTGGAATAGTGATTTTTTAAAGAATGCGTGGAAAAGTTTTGGAATGCGTGTAATATTATTTTATCAGAAAATGCTTGGTTAAAAAGATGAGAGAAAAATGCATTTTGATTAAAATGGAGCCTAAACAGGGGTTTAAATTTTTGTAGTTTTTCTTTTTATTGGAGAGGATGATTCCATTTAATTTTTATAATTTGTCTCCACTCTCTCTACACCCTCTCTCTTGTACGTGTGGCCCACAATTAGTCCACATCCCCCTTGGAGAGCCTCCTCTCCATTCCCATTTTGCTCGTCATATGTACAACAATTCACATTGTTGCATTGGAGATGCTCATAACACCATTGACAATGATATAATTATTGCTACCACTGTGCTTTGATAACCTTGTCACTTTTAAAAATTAAAAAATAATGACATTGCTACCATTATATGCTGGCTGCTGGTTTATGTCTAACCCGGATAGGGGATTTGGGGTTAGAAGAGGGGAGGGGACAACAGGTGACAAATCAATGTTTACATGTGTGTAAAATTGTACATATTATACTGATCTTTTTATTTACTTTATATTCTAAAATATAGTAGAATTTGAGATTCAAGGATATAAATGCTCATGGATAATCATGAGATGATATCCCTCATGATTATCCTTCTGAATGGTCTAGAGAATGCCTAGAATTATTTATTTTATTTTGTTATTGAAGAATAATTGGAATTTTTCCAGTTCCACCTGTTCTGTATTAGATTGCAATACTGATACTTTTTTATTTGACTTTACAGTTGCGGTGATGGCACCCTTGGGGTTCCTTCTCAAAGAGGTGATAATTATGAATGCAGGAACATGAAGCTTCTTCTAAAACAACAGCAGAGGGTAATTTTCTTCTTGACTTCAATTTATTGGGAATCTGACTTAGTTTGTCGTCAGTGTTGTACGTGCCTGTTGTTGTATTGGATTGCTTTTTAATCAACAGTTCTTGTAATATTGGTTATGCTTAGTTCACCAGTAGCTAATGAATGAGTGATGATGGATCTTAGTCAAAATTAACGCTTGTAAGTATTCATTTGTAGGTATTGCTGGGAAGATCAGATGTTTCTGGTTGGGGAGCATTCTTGAAGGTAATTTTCGAATATATTAATTGTTTCGGCATGATTTTTTAGTTTTTTCCCCTGATGTGTGGTTACCTTTATTTATAATACTTCAGAAGAATGTTGGCAAGCATGAATACCNCTCTCTCTCTCTCTCTCTCTTACCTGATTTGTGCTTACCTTAAATTACGATACTTCAGAATAATGTGGGCAAACATGAATACCTTGGAGAGTACACTGGCGAACTAATATCACACCGTGAAGCTGATAAGCGTGGCAAGATCTATGACCGGGAGAATTCTTCATTTCTCTTTAACTTAAATGATCAGGCATGATATGCTAAATTTTAGATGATGTCGAAATATTGCTTTTTACATTAGAAAACATTCCCATGATCTCCTTCTCTGAAAATAAAATAAAAGAAACCATAAATGAGGCTTTTTTCTTGTGCGCAGTTTGTTCTAGATGCTTATCGGAAGGGTGATAAATTGAAGTTTGCCAACCATTCTCCCGATCCTAACTGTTATGCTAAGGTAACTAGCTAGTACAAGTATTGGACATGGCTAGACACTATAATGGATAAGATTTTGGTTTTCTTTTACTTAATTATTGTCCAATGTTGTCTAATTAATCTTAATAAACATGCTATAAAATAAACGAATTCTTATTACTAAAGTATGGGATTCTCCAATTTTCTGTATTCGCCAATTCTGGCTTTATTCATTTAGTATTTCTATTGGTAGGTCATTATGGTGGCGGGAGATCACAGGGTGGGTATATTTGCAAAAGAACGAATTTGTGCAGGCGAAGAACTCTTTTACGACTATCGTTACGAGCCGGATAGAGCTCCTGCTTGGGCGAAAAAACCCGAGACATCTGGTGCTAAAAGAGAAGATTGCGCTCCTTCTAATGGTCGTGCGAAGAAGCACACCTAATCAGTTGGTAATTTATTTCGTCAAGATTTCATTTTGTTATTCTTTTCCTGAGAAACGTGGTCCCTCATTCGCCTTCTGGCTGAACTAATCATTTAGTTGCTGGAGATACCGTCAATAGGCCATCTCCAGAGTAACTTAACAAGATTTTTTTGACTGTGGCTGAGTGAATTCATCAGAGCGGGAAAGAATACAAGTGTAGTTTATGCTTCCATTTCTTCAATTAAAATTTTCATGTAAAATAGTCTCTCATCGAACAATTATTTTACTGAATCTTGTAGGAAAAAGGAATTTACTTTGACTTGGAACTTTTGCGGTAACACAATTCTTAATTTATCCTTGGGTGTTAATAGAATAAGACCATCATGTTTTCATTTTTTTTCTTTAATAATATTATCTAGCACCCGTCTAGGTGGTCAAATGTGATACGTTCAATTAAATGAATAATGTGATTATGCATTTAAGTAAATCTATCATTTAATGTTATGGAGTAGTCACTTAGACCGATACTTGACACCTGATGAATAACATTAATCTTTTTCTTTGTTATATTGTATAATTGTTCTCTAAATTGAATAGCATCTTCATTAATGTTATCCAACACTTCTTTCTCACGGCATTCCCAACCGATGGGAAAATGTTATTTCAGCCGTTAAATTAGCTTGCGACTCTCACGTGATGTCTCCTAGTTGGGTAAAAAAGTCAGAACTCATTTTTCGTTTTATAAAGGGATATTGCCACCAGTACGCCCTTTTGTCTACATGCTTAACATTATCATTGTTGTCAAGTAATGAGTAGTTGATTTTTTTTATTTTTTATTTTTAAAACCATGCATTGTCACATGACATAGTATAAAATTTGCATAATGCTACTTGTCCAGAAAGGTAGCAAACAGAGTCAAAACCAGAGAATTAAATATTAAAGTGAATTGTTTATTATACTCTTATTTCCAGATTTTAATCATTTTCCACATTTTTACCTATAATTGGTGTCAGTGCCTAGTAATGAAGCTGAAGAAATTTTTTTGAACTTTAGAAATATATTCTAAGATGAATAGAAAAGATAAAATGATTTTAGAAGAATTATAAAATATTAATATATTAATTAGAACTAATAGAATTAAATTACAAGAATTAGCGACAAATTTAAGTATCGGATTTAAATTTCNAATAAAATTAAAATACAAGAATTAATGACAAATTTAAGTACCGAATTTGAATCTTTAAGTAAAGAGATAAAACAAATTAATAACGCTCAACAATTAGTTGAAATAAAAAATAAAGTATTACAAATTTTGGTAGATGAATCTCCCGAATATGAAGAAGATATTATAATGAGTAATGTTATTTATCCCCAGTGGGGATGAAAACACAGTTTATATGACTTTAAATGATATGTTAAATGAATGGTAAAATTTAATGATTTATTTAATTTCACATATCATTTAATACCACATTTAGGGGTGTCCAAAAGTTCCGAACCGGATCGAACCAAGCAGTTCTTCGTAAATTAAATACCCGAACGGGTACCCGAATCGAGAACCGATGGATTTGGATCGGGTCTCGGGTCTAGACCAAGAACCGAATAAAAATCGAAACTAAATTAATTTTTTATATTGAATTAATTAAATTATTTTATTTTTTAAAAAATAAATTAGCAAATTAATTAAATAAATCAGATTATTTCATAATTTTAATTTTAAATTCCAAATCATTTTTAAAGCTCATTAGTCCATTT